TTCTTAAATTTGCCCTTTTTAAAATTGCCCTGCCTCTACACCATCTCGCTGGACATGCGCACCAGTGACCCCTGTGGCCCGAAAAGGAAGAAGCGGGTAAAAGATAATGGATGGACGGTATTCATCGTACCCCCCCCCCCCCCCCCCAATATCGGTATTGGCGATAGCTAAAATTTCCATATCGGCCGGTCCCTAGTCAAAATACGTCTAGCATCTATGGAAACTAAATTGAGGCACGTCTAAGATGCCTGAAACATCTTGAGACATTTTGGAAACTCCACCAGGAACGCCGTTTGACAACTAGTTTCCAATAGCTAGCTGAAGACGCACGAAAGGCTGACCGCTTGTGACCGTACTTGTCCAAAACGTCTGTGCCGAACCATGACAGTGTAGCTGCATGGATCTACAACGGGTTAGACATCACGGTTCATACCCTTCCACAGAACCACACTTCAACCTTTAAATACTCATCAGTTTGGACTGGTTTAAATCTAATGAAGAGGAAAACACTTCAGGTTAAGATCATAACTATCCAGTAGACTTTAATGCTTCCCAGAGAAGATGAAGAGGGTGACACCACGGTGGAATAGTTAACTCAATGGGTGGTGTCACAGGGGGTCTGGCTTCTCACACAAACATTCCTGGTCTGATTAAGCCCACGTGACTCCGGGGTTCTCCTTACACACAACATATCCTGGCAACTCTCGCATACGGGACGTGCCTTTACATTTCAGCGATGTAAATATCCTGTTTTACAAAAAGAGCCGCTTCACGAGTGACAGCGACCGCGTCCTGAAACCTCAGTCCAGAACCCCAGACGGCTGGCCTCAGAAGCACTTCCTGTGTCAGCGCTCCGTTGCTTTCCTTCTCGGGGTGAGGATTATTTGGCGCTCCAGTTCTGCTTTCATGTGCGTTCGCTCCAGCGAGGGATTAAAGCGACTGCAGCCGCGCTCACGTGACGAGAGGCTCAGGCGAACGGTTTTGGTTGGACGCCAAGACGGGCGCGTGCTTTAATGCAGAGTGAATTAAATCTGGCCGTCAGCTGACGGGCGGAGGAGCGCCGCATCAGTTGGAGCACCGCTGTAAAAAAAAAGACTGCACTCTGATTCTTTTATAACGCACAAGGACAGCCAAGCAACAACGAAACGATAAAACAAGATCTGTACGTCTGAGGTGCATTTATTAGAACGTCCATCCCAGAAGTTTGAAGAAAACCTTCAGGTCTCAGTCTGGATCATCCGAGACAAAGCGGCTGGTTGACCGTAGTTCAGGAGAGACGTTAAGTGCTCATTTCAGAATGTGCTGAAATCCGCTGAAAAGCTTTCAAGCAGGAAAATAAAAACAGAGAGCAGCAGAAAAACGGCAGAAATGAGAAGAATAAACTGAAAGTAGCCGAAACTGCATTTTCTGTGAAAATGCAATTTGAATGCTAACTGCAGAAGAACTTGCTGAAAAGCAGCTGAAATAAGCTAAAAAAAAGAACAGGACTAAGTTAGTAGAAGAAAGCATGAATTAGGTTTAAAGAAGCAGAAATTAGCACAATTGGAAAATCAGCTAAAAAAAAAAGCTAAAAATTAGCAACAACAAAAAAAATCTAAAAAGTAGCCGAAACGGCAGAATGAAGATAACCTACAAGAAGGAAGTGGAAAGAGCTGAAATTGGATAAAAAAAAAAAGTGGAATTACCTGAAAAAGCTCAAATTTGCACAAAAACAGCTAAATAGTAGATGAAATGGCAGAAAAAGCTGTAAGGAGCATAACAAGCTGGAAATTATCAGAAAGGAGTTAAGTTAGGCTGAAAGTAGCAGGAAATACCAAGAAAAACTTGAATTTACCAGAAAACAGCTGAAATTAGCTAAATAATTTCTAAAATAGTTGAAAAGGTAGAACAAGCTTAAATTAGCAGAAGAAAGCAGAAAGAAGAAGTTTGCCCAATTAGGCTGAAAGAAGCAGAAATTAACACAAAATGTAGAAATTACCTGAAAAAAAGCTGAAATTAGCAACAAAAAACTGCTTAAAAGTAGCTTAAAAATAAGAAAGAAGCTGAAATTATAAAAAGGAAGTGTGGAGCACATTTTTGCTGAATTAGGCTGAAAAAAGTTTAAACGTGTGGCATTAGCTTAAAAAGCTTCGATTAGCATAAAAACAGCTAAATAGCAGCTGAAATAGCAGAAAAAGCTGAAATTTGCATAAATAAGCTGAAAGGAGTATAACAAGCTGAAATTAGCAGAAAGAAGTTAGAAGAAGCACAAAAATGTTGTAGTTAACAAAGATCCTGACAGGAGCACAAAACAGCTGAAAAAATAGCTAAAACTGCCTGAAAAAGAAGGATTAAACTGAATTCAACAAAAAGAAGCTTAAAGGAGAATTAGAACGTTTTAAATAGAACAAAATGTTAGAAGTATGTGGAGAGAGCTGAAATTAGCTAAATAAAAAAAGTGGAATTAGCTGAAAAAGATCAAATTTGTATAAAAACAGCTAAATAGTAGCTGAAATAGCAGAAAAAGCTGTAGAGGCATAATAAGCTGAAATTAATTAGGCTGAAAGTAGAAGGAATAACCAAGAAAATTTTGAACTTATCTAAAAACAGCTGAAATTAGCTAAAAACAAATTTTTAAAAAGTAGCTGAAAACGTAGAAGAAGCTTAAATTAGCAGAAGAAAGCAGAAAGAACAAGTTTGCCCAATTAGGATGAAAGAAGCTGAAATTACCACAAAGAGTGGAAATCATCTAAATAAAAAAGAGGCTGAAATTAGCAATAGCAACACAAAAAAGACAGCTGAAAAGTAGCTTAAAAATTAGAAAGAAGCTTAAATTATAAGAAGGGACTGGGAGTTGAGAGAGCACATTTTAGCTGAATTAGGCTGAAAAGGTTTAAATGAGTGCAAAAATGTGGAATTAGCTGGAAAAGGCTTACATTAGCATTAAAAAAGCTAAATAGAAGCTGAAAGAGCAGAAAAAGTTGAAAAGAGGATAAACTGAAATTAGCAGAAAATGTAAATGCACATAAATGAAGTTAGCAGAAAGATCCTAGAAGACGCACAAAGCAGCTGAAAACAGCTGAAAAATAAAAATAAAGCTGAGTTTAACAAAAAGAAGCTGAAAGGAGCAGTAAAATGTTTTAAACAGCACAAAACGTTTGAAGGACGTACAGAATCATTTTCAAGGAGAAAAACATGGCCGAAAGCGCTAAATAATCCAAAACAGTCAAAATTACACAAAAACCAAACGTCGCAGCTGGAACGTCCCGAAGGAGCCGAACGTCCCGACACTCGAATCGCTGAAACAGAACAAAAACTGCGAAACGAGTTGCGTGCCGAAAAACGTACGGAGGAAAATCAGAGCTCAACGGTGAGAACGACCCAGAAACACTCGGACTGGAAGTGCGACGGTTCAACGTCGGCTCTTCTTCGGCCCCTCGCCGACAGAATCCAGGTCTGACGTGCGGTAGTCCCTCGCCACTTCGCCTCGTTTCACCTGCCGCGGTGGCGTGTGGAGCGAAACCCCCGCGATAATGGAAGGACTACTGTAGCACAACTCTGAATCAAACGTTTTCAATCCGTCCGTACGGGCCGGCAGCTAAAACGTGCCGTTTCCAGCGGGTTAACCTGTGAAGGGCCGACCTTCAAGACTTTAAACCAGCTGTTCTCCTGGACTTTCCAACAGTAACCATTCCCAGTTTTACCACCCTGACTACATCCACAACACAAACGGCTGCAACTACATCTCCATCGGATCCGTAGTGGGGTCACAGAGGCGGCAGGTCCAGGACAGAAACCTAGAGCTCCCCTCTCCAGCTCCTCCTGGGGGACCTCAAGGTGTTCCCGGGCCAGAGAAGATGCACAACCCCTCCAGCGAGTTCTGGCTCTGACTCGGGGCTTCTTCTTAATACCACCAAAGAGATCTAGGAGGCATCTGAACCACCTCATCCGACTCCTTTGGCTACAGAGCAGCTCTACTCCTCACCCCGTCTCCAAGGCTGAGCCCGGCCACTCTGTGAAGGAAGCTCATTTCGGCTGCTTGTCTCCAGGATTTTGTTCTTTTAGCCAAACGTGACCAAAAGGTGAGGGCTGAAACGTAAAAAGACCAGCAGACGTGAGTTCTCTGCAGCTGCGTCACCGTGTGGCACGGCAGCCGAGAGGACGGCGCTGCAGAGGCTGCACAGAAGACTGTGGGGACCTCTACACTTCACGATGCAGGGGAAGGGCACTCGGCATCAAGAAGGACTCCGCTCATCCTGCACGCGGTCTGTTCCAGCCCCCTCCCCTCAAGCCGACGGCTGAGGAGCATTCAGACAGCTGAACTCGAGCTGCACTTAATTCAGCTTCTTCTTACTTTTTTAACTTGAATATATATATATATTGTATTTATTTATGTATTTATTAATTGTTAGGCTTCTTGATCTGGGATCTGAGTCTGAATTTCGAACCATAAAAAAGCAAATGTGAGCTTTGCCGTTCGATTCAACTCCTTCTTCACCACAACCAGCCAAAACAACACCCTCAATACTGAGGAGGAGGCAGTGAACACGACACCCAGATACCCAAACGGTTCCACCTGAGTCAAAGACACCCCCGGAGCCGGAGGCCTCACTCGGCTGCAAACCGCCCTGGTGCACGCCGAACATCATGTCCTGAAGACGCCCAAAGAACCGTCCAGAACCTCCACGCTGTAACTTGGCGCGATCGTGCGCAACGTCACTCACAGCAGCTACAACTCTGTCTTCAGAAAATGATCCGTTCTGAAGCCCAGCGCTTCTTCACGTGTGCACGGTTTACACTTAGAACGGTTCCGCGACCTTCACTTTGGTTCCGTCGTGCTCTCGGCGTGACGGTCCATTCGAAACGAACGGTCGTAGCCGCTCAACCTTTCCTAGACTTCCTAAAACACACGTGTCAGGGAGAATACGGGGAGGGTCACGCCGTTACGGGTCAGGACTTCACCTGGAAAAACAGAGCGGGACCAGCAACGGTGAGTGTCTGTGGGCTGATGGAGACCTTACCTTGGTGCAGTAGAGCATCCACACTTCATACAGCCTCTCCTTGGACGCCATGGTGCCAGGAAGGAGGCACTTTGGGGGCCCACGGTCACTTCCCTGGCTGCTTCATGGCTTCCAGTCAGGAGCTGTGTTTGCTCAACACCATGGCTGTCCAACCACGTGACAAACCTGATAAAAACAGTCAAAATAAAAAAGTGGGTTTGGTTGTAAACCTTATAGCAGAGGCAGCTGTCGCTCTTCTTCTTCGTTGGTTTAATTCCAGCAGCGGCGGCGGCGCTAATCACAGATATGACGGTTCGGTCACAGGAACACCCACAGTCATGTTTACTCCCCGTGCACTTTGAGCTGCCCCGCAGGCTCCGGACTCAAAACGCACCAAACTAATAATAAAACCCAGTGAAGCAGCTCGCTGGCAGCTACCATCATAAGACTAGCCGAGCTAGCTTAGGAGCTAGCTGTCAAAAAAAAACAAAAAAAAAAACAAGCTTATTTTTTAATCCGCTTCCTCCTCGTGACAGAAACGCCTCGTCCGTTCAGCTACAAAAAACTCAAAACGTAAATAAAAATCAGATAATTAAAAAAAATAATAACTTAAAGACTTCTTACCCGTGTACGGAGCAGAGCAGCAACTGTCAGCGCCGTCCGCTCGCTGAGCCACGGTTGTTGTGGCTGCGCGCGACAGCGGCCACGCGCACCAAACACACACTTCCTGTCAAGGTTTAGGATGCATTTCAAAATAAAAGAAATAAAACGGCCTTTTGTTTTTTACACATTTCAAACAAGATAAATTACATTTCCTGCGAAAATGCTTATAGCTGAAGAATTTGCTGAAAAACAGGTATTTTTTTTGTAAATGAGTCCTCGTGGCTCAATGAGACGAACATATAAATAAAGGTTGAATGAAAAAAAAAAAAAACAGCTGAAATTAGCTAACTTGCTGAATTGTAGCTGAAATGGAAGAACAGGCCTAAATTAGCAGAATAAATCAGAGAACACATATTTGTTGAATAAGGTTTAAATAAGCAGAAATTAGCACAAAAATTAGGAAATTTGTTTAAAAAAAAAGCTGAAATTAGTAATTAATAAGCTTAAAAGTAGCTGAAAAGATGGGAAAAAAGCTTAAACTAGAAAGAGCTGAAATGACTGGAAAAAAAGTGAAATTAGCTGACAAAGCTCAAATCAGCATTAAAAACAGTTAAATGAAATGGTAGAAAATGATGAAAAAGAAGCTGAAATATAAGCTGAAATTAACAAGTTAGTCTGAAAGTAGCAGAAATTACCACAAAAAAATTGAATTTATCTAAAAACAGCTCAAATTAGCTAAAATGCTGAGAATGTAGAAGAAGCTTAAATTAGAAGAGAGCAGTTTGTCCAGTTAGGCTGAAAGAAGCAGAAATGAGCACAAGAGGATATTATCTGAAAAAAGCTGAAATTACAAAAACAGCTGAAAAGTAGCTAAAAAGCTTAATATACCAGAAGGAAGTGGAGAGAGCATATTTTTGCTGAATTAGTTAGAAAAATGTTGAAAAGTGTGTAAAAATGTGGAATTGCTGAAAAAGTTAAAATGAGCATAAAATAGCTAAATAGAAGCTGAAATAGCAGAAAAAGCTGAACCTTGCATAAATAAGCTGAAAGGCGCATAAGCTGAAATTGGCGGAAAGAAGTTAGAGGAAGCACAAAAATGTTAGTTAGCAGAAAGAATCTAAAATGAGCCCAAAACAGCTGAAATTTAGCTGAAAGTAGCTGAAAATATGTTTAAATTTGCACAAGGAAGCTGAAGCAGAACGAAATGTCAAAGGAGCAGTAAAAAGTTACAGATCTAAAGATTTGAAAATGGGCTCAGTTAATTCATTTTCTATTAAACAAAATGGCAGAAAAGGCTAAATATTTCAAAAAGCTAAAGTTGCACATCATAGCAGGACTGTCCTGACAGAGCTGGACGTTTTGATTTATGATTTGTTGAAATAGCACAAAAATTGAACGCACTAAGCGTGCTAAAACTGTAAAAGTAGCTTTGTGGCTAAAATGTGCATTTTATTTTAACTACATTTGTATTCTTATTTCCCTGTGGTGGTTTAAAATGCATTTTGTATAATTATATATGTTTTGTATCTTAAGCATAGCGGACGAACCTTTATTTTGGTGAACCGGATGCCAACTACGCTGCAGCGCTTGAGAAACGAACCGTCCAACGCACAGATATCATATATGACATATATGACATGTTTATATCTATGGTCCAACGCACAACGCATTGCTTCACCTGCAGCCACAGATTCAGACAGTTTTCACAGTGGACATTTGCTTTAAACTAATCGAAACTGTTTCTTTACGTTTCTGCGCATTTGCGACACTTGTTTCTGTTTTACGGTGCCGATGTGGACCCTCGTGGTTGCTATGGTTTCTAGGAGCCGGACGAGCTTGGCTGGGAGCTCACATCGCCACCTGGCGGACAAGAGTGGAAATGTCCGTTCTGGCGGTTTTCTCTACTGGTCGCGAGTTCGAACCCCAAAGCAAACGACCGAACTACATTTACTGTGACCCATTTTTTCTTCTGTACGTTTTCAGCAAATTCCTCGTTCCACTTTTTTTTTTTTTTTTGTGCCATTTCAACAAATCACAAATCAAAACGTTCAGATTTTGATCAACGTTCAGAAGGATTAGACTGGTGCAACGTTAGCTTTTTGAAATATTTTGCCTTTTCTGACACTTTTTTCCTCGTAGAAAATGAATCGAGCTCATTTTACATCTGTTTACAACCTTTTACTGCTCCTTTCACTTTGTGTTCTGCTTCAGCTTCTTTCAGCTTCGTTGTGCAAATGGAAACATTTTTCAGCTCCTTTCAGCTCTTGTGTGCTCCTTTCAGATCCTTTCTGCTAACCACAACATTTTTGTGCTTCTTCTGACCCCTTTCTGCTAATTTCAGCTTATGTTCCTTTCAGTGTTTTTCTGCAAGTTTCAGCTTTTCCTGAAATTTATGCAATTTAGCCTATTATGCTAATTTTAGCTTTTTCAGTTAATTCCACAATTTTTGCACTCATTTCAACTTTTTTCAGCCCAAATCAGCAAAAATGTGCACTCTACACTTCCTTCTGGTAATTTAAGCTTCTTTCTGCTTTTTTAGCTACTTTTCAGCCTTTTTTTTTTTTTTGCTAATTTCTGCTTTTTTTCAGCCTAGTTCTGCTTTCTTCTGCTAATTTAAACTCGTTCTACTTTTCATCTACCTTTTTAGCTAATTTCAACAGTTTTCAGATAAATTAAAGTTTTTTTGTGATAATTTCTGTTACTTCCAGCCTAATTAACATCTTTATGCTAATTTCAGCTTGTTTGCTCCTTTCAGCTTTTTTCTATTTCAGCTACCATTTAGCAAATGTATGCTTTTTCAGCCAATTCCACTTTTTTTTTTAGCTCATTTCAGCCCTTTCTGCTTCCGTCTGGTAGTTTAAGCTTCTTTCTGCCTCTTCAGCTACTTTTTGCTAATTTCAGCCTTTTTTTTTAGCTAATTTCCTCATTTTTGTGCTCACTTCTGCTTATTTCAGAGTCAGATTTACAGTTATTTTAACCTAATCTTGCAACTTTGTGTTTGTTCTTCTTCTGCTAATTTAGATATTTTCTTCCATTTCAACTAAATTTCATTCTGTTTTTAGGATGTAGTTAAATGAACAGAAATCTCATTTTAAGGAAACAAAAGACTAACAGGAGGCTTGGCGATAAAGAGGCATTTATATATACAGTAGATATATAGTATACATAATAATAAGGCTTACACAGCTACCATGTTTGATATGTACTATAAATCACAGTTCTTATACACTTCATCACAGTTACAAACAGATCTTCTAAATGCAAGTTTCAGTAAAAAAAACAAAGGCATTGTTGGAGAAGAGGTTAAAGGACACAGCAGGAATACTTCGTTTATGAACCACAGGTGACTGAGGCAAGAAAAACGAATGTTTTCAACTCTAAGGGAACGTTGGATACGGCACGTTTTATTGCTAGGGGACATTTCGCCCACTCAACTGCACAGTTGGCCATTTGTGCTCAAGGTTTTTAAAACTACGCAGGAACACCATGTGGAAATATGTTGAGTCCTAAGTGAAGAGGTTCACCCGGTTGATTTTGTTGGGGGAAACCAAAAACACAACAACAACGTACCTCCAACTCATACACATGTGTTGGATATCTTGTTTGTATGTACCTCGAATTGTATTGTTCACAGTCTGAATACATAAACACATATAAAATAACATATTTTCTTAAACTCCACCCTAAGATCAGTGTTTACCGTGAGGAGTTAGAGTTGTGATCACAGATTTACGTACGCTCATCATGGACGTGAATATCACTAATTAATGTTTCACCGTTCTTTTTCAAGAGTGGAATGAGCAGAGAAAATCCCATTTTAGTGATTTTTAGGAACAATAACTGTCCACAAGTTTGAATTTAACACCCAAAGTTATACATAGATCATTTTAAAGCATTTAAGATGGATAATAAAAAAATAATAATAATTATACGAGTTTGAAAAAGTTGTAGCTCATTTTGCAGGTTTGTTTGACAGCTGTCTTTGGACTAACTAAAACTTATGTCACACTAAAATGTAAGGAAATATTGGGATTTATTAAAAAAAAAAAAAAAAAAAAAAAAAATCAAAAAACATGCAAATTGAATAACCAAGGACCAAACAATGACCCTTGAGGAACGCCAAAAGTGAAAGGGGCTGCAGAGGAGGAACATTAGAAGGAATCGCATTTTTAAGCCATTAAGTGGATTTTTCCTTTAAGTAGTGTTTGATTCTTAGTCAGTCTGCGTTTTGTTTAATTTTTTTAATTTTTTTTATGACTGTGTGATCGAAGCAGCTTCTTTGATCCAGCACCTTCACATTTGGCTCATTCAAAAACCTTCAGGTAAAAAAATATAAAACTACTTTTAAAATAAAAGGCTCAGAGTTGGTTTTATGATATTATAAAATAAATAAAAGCACAGTAGAGTTTGGCCTCGCTTTTATGGGATTGTCTTTGTGTTTAGATTGCTACTTAGAAGTCCCACGCGACCTCTGCTGCGTCGGTGCCGACTGATGACGGAGAGTGACACGGTGGACTCGATACGTGGGGGTCCTTGGGACTTGAGAGCGGCACTGCTGGGTACACGAGGCTGAGGAAGGAGTCTCTGGTGTGCCTCTTCACCTGGAACAGAGCACAAAGATTCATCGCAGATGAGATCGGAGGCAACAGACTTTGTCAAGTCTAGGCTAATGGCTAGCCAAAGGAGTGATGGATGTTAGGTCACGCACATTTAATAAACAGTGTCACACAAAAGTGTAGAGGTTCAATATTAGCAAATGTAGCATTCTTTCACAGCAGTACGTCACTTTTGATTAAACTTTGGCTGAAAAACAATTAAAAAATGTCATTTGTTTGGCTAGCAACTAGCCAAGCTGTGATTCATGTCACAGCTGGTAAATTAAAATAAATTATAACTATGTGAGAGTTTGTGGCATGTTTCCTCACTTTGTAAGAATTTTTATAAAGTAGTCACATGATTGAGGTCCGTTTTTCTTCCATACGCTACTTGGCATACAACTTCTTCAGCAATTTTTGTTCCATTTCAACAGTTCATCTATCAAAACGTTCAGCTCATTCAGAACATTTGTGCTGTGACTTTCGGCAGTGCACCAGTTTTCGGTGGAGAACCATGGCCTGAGACTTAAGAGGAACTGACTCTCGTTCCAGCCGCTTCAGACTTAGCTGTGAACCGCCACACTGAACACTGGACGCCAAAAATAACACATCATTCGCATAAAGCAGAGATGAGACCCTGAGGTTTCCAACCCAGACACCCTCCTCTCCTCGACTGTGTCTTGAGATCCTGTCCATGAACACCACAAGCAAAATCGGAAACGAGGTATAGCCCAGGCGGAGTCCGATCTGAACTGGGAAGAGGCTCGATTTTGTGCCAAGAATGCGAACACAGCTCCTGCTTTGGGTATACAGGGAGCAGACAGCCTTTAAGAGGAACCCAGGCGCTACTCCTGCAGCACCCCCTACAGAATGTCCAGGAACACTGTCATAAGCCTTCTCCAGGTCCACAAAACATGTAGACTGGAGAAGTAAACTCCCATGACCCCCTTATCAATTCTGCAAGGCTGAAGATCTGGTCCACTGTTTCACCGCCAGGACAGAATCCACGCTACTTCTCCTCAAGCCAAGGCTCGACAATCGGTCAAAGCCTCCCTTCCAACACCCTGGAATAAACTTTCCCCAGAGAGGGCAACAAGTATGATCTCACAATAGTTGGAACACACTCTGAGTCCCCTTTTAAAAAAAAATATGAACCATGATCTCCGTCTGCCACTTCACAGGAGTTGTCTCAGTTCTCCATGAAACATTGAAGAGATGTGCAACCATGACACCCCCACAGAGTCTTCGGCATCACGGGGCGAATCACATCCATCCCTGGCTCCCTGCCACTGAGGAGCTTTTTGACTACCTCAGTAACCTCTGCCATGGTAATGAACTCATCTTCCCATGAATCTTCAGACTTTCTCATCGAAGGTGGACATGGTGGGTAACTTAAGGAGATCCTCGAAATGCTCCTTCCATCGCTCAATAATATCCTCAATCCAGCCTGGGAAGGGGTCCGCTTTCCTTTTCTGACTCGTTGGTTTGCTAGAACCTCCTCAAAACCAACTGAAAGTCCTTCTCCAAAGCCTCCATTAATTCCTCCCCCTTTCTGGCCACCCTGTACCTGTCAGCTGCTTCGGGAGTCCTCTGGGACTGCCAAGTCCTGAAGATCTCCTTCAGCTTGACGGCCTTCATCACTGCTGGTTTCCACCAGTGTGTCCTTTGGTTGCCACTCTGACAGGCACCAATGGGCTTCAGGTGCACAGCTCTTGGAAGCCACATCTGCAAAAGGGGCCTTTAAACATGGCCCATTCGGATTCCATGCCCCCGATCTCCCCCGGGACACGTGAAAACTCTCTCGGAGGTGTGAGTTGAAGGTCAAACAGCCAGGAGGTTCCACCCAGTTCACCCTCACTATGTGTTTGGGTTTGCTAGGCCTGTCCAGTAGCCTCAACCAACACCAGATCAAACTGAACACGAGGTGGTGATCAGTTGCGGTGTCCAAACGTTTTTATATGTGGGCCAAAATTATCCAGATGAAAGGACTGGTGGGCCAAAAAAATGTGAATTTAACTTTCAACATGAACAATATTTTGGAGAAAGGACAAAAGTTTACTAATTCTGGTGGAGAAAGAGTTTTAAATTGTTGTATATCCAAAATATTAAAAGCCTCATAAACACTAAAAGGATTTGATTTATTTCATTTGTTGGGTCTATGTTTGTTGTTTTCTTGTGTTTGGAAGGTTAATTTTAGTCTGTTCGCAGCAACAAAAGCTTAATTTGAATAAGTGCCCTTTTAAAAGGGGGTCGATCAGCCTTTATGACCATGGACGACCCAAAAGGCTGATAGAAGTTCTGAAAAATGGTCCAGCTGTCAGTCGCTACAATAGATTCATGGAAGGTTTGATAACGTTGATCAACTCGTATGTAGATGATACCATGTTATATTAATTTTAAAATGTCCAATTTCCCTCTTATTTTATCAGCTGCAATATTTAGACAAGTTTTATGAATCATCAAGTTAAATCAACTCGTATGTAGATGATACCACGTTATATTAATTTAAAAATGTTTAATTACAATACCGTTTACCATACCATACCATTTTATTTATAGAGCACTTAAAACAGCGACAAGGTCAACCAAAGTGCTGTACAGACAAAACAACAGGTAACACACAAAGCAAAATACAAAATGACGTAAATCAGAATATAGACATAAAAACGATGCAGATAATGACGACTAACCTGTGTGGAGCGTACAGGATCAAAACACAGATCATCTGGTGTTGAAAGCTACTGAATAGTAGTGGATTTTTAAACGAGACTTGAAAATCGAGAAGGAGGAGGCCTGTCTGACAAGCAGCGGCAACTCGTTCCAAAGTCTTGGTCCTGCTACAGAGAAGGCCCTGTCACCTCTGCGCTTAAGATGAGTTCCTGGAACTGTGAGGAGCAACTGGTCTGCTGACCTCAGGGAACGTGGTGGGGCATACGGTTGTAGCAGATCAGAGAGATGAGGGGGGGACTGTTCAGTGATTTGTAGACATACATGAGTATTTTGAACTGGATTCGAAAGTGAACTGGTAACCAGTGCAGTGAGGCCAAAACTGGTGTAATGTGCTCTCTTTTGCCTGTACTGGTAAAAAATCGGGCTGCTGCATTCTGGACCAGTTGTAGTCGTGCAATGGAGGTCTGACTGATACCAAACAGGAGTGAATTGCAGTAATCAAGCCTAGATGTAATGAATGCATGTATTACTGTCTCCAGGTTATTTCTGGACAATAGGGGCTTCAGTTTAGACAGCCGCCTCAGCTGGAAGAAACATGACTTAACAATCATGTTTACGTGACTGTTAAGTTTCAGGGAAGGGTCCATTATCACTCCCAGATTAGTGACTCTTTGTTTTAAACCTGAACATTATATAAAAAAGGATTAGCAATAAATTTGCAGAAAGTCTGCATCGACATCTTAAGCCTGCTAGACAAAATGATACCGTTCTTAAACTGTAGTTGTGGGTAGGCCTGTCACGATAACAAATTTTGCTGAGCGATTAAATGTATCAGAAATTATTGCGATAAACGATAATATTGTATGAAATTTGACAATAATTAGTAATTATTGTCATTTTCATTTACCATGTGATTAATTGATTTATTGTTTATCTTGACAGGCCTAGTTGTGGGCCGGACAAATTCACTCCAAGGGCCGCAAATGGCCCCTGGGCCACACTTTGGACACCGGTGGTCTAAGACATGGGGCCACAGGTCCGACAACACGATTACAAAATCAGTCATGAACCTTTGGCCTAAGCTGACCTGGTACGTGACAATAAATAAAGAGAAACAGGAAAACATCTGTGCATTCACACTGCGTTTTCAAAGGAAATGCGTTTTTTTTCTAGTTAGGTCTGATGCCCTTATTTTGAAACCTACCTGCTTGAAGAAGGCGTGGCTCAGCAGTTCAGATGCCGACGGTCTACGCAGAACAAAAACAGCTTTACGCGTTTACATTTTGCACAAATACATTCACGTTGGAGTGTACCGTACTTGAACAGCTGCACCGACCTGCGCTCAGGCTGCTGCTGCAGACACAGCTGCACCAGGTTGTGCAGCGTGGCCGAGTGGTTTTTAGGTCCGGGGCTCTGAGGTCGGTCAGAGGGGGGCACCACGGCGCTGTGCGTCAGACTGCTCGCCGCCACGCTCTCCCCGATGCCGGAGTCCACGCCGGACCGCGACACTTTCAGACCGCCCAGCTCTCCTAGCGGGAAGGGAGCCACGTCCAGCAGGCAGCAGTGGGAGCCGCGCAGCTTCTGCAGCAACATCTGGACGAGACGGGTCACAAATTGTGCACTTACTGGAACACGAGCGCACGTTCTCTTAGTTCATGGTAGATGCAGGTACCTGAGTGGGTGGCATGTCCTGGAAGGGCACCCTGCCACTGACCAGCTCACAGGCTACGATCCCCAGGCTGTAGATGTCTGACTTCACTCCATAACCGTGCAGGTCCTACTGAGAGCACACAAACACTCTGTTGTGACACTTCCACAAAATATTCATTTTCATTTGTTTAACAGAGTGACGACATTTTTCCTTTGTCCATTAGCAAAATATCTTGTGAACTACTGAAATTAGCAGAAACGAGAGAAATCGCTTTTCCTGTGAATACAGTGCAAATGCTTATTGCTGAAGAACTTGCTGTAGTGAACTTAATCTGGTGTCACGACTAAGCCTAAGGTCAAAACCCTTGACCTTAAGAACCTTGTGGGACAGAAACTGTCATTTCATTGATTTGAATCCAGAGATACAGGTTCACCCATCCTGAGACTCTCTTTCTCAGATTGATATCCAAGTGTAAGAACACTCTCTTTTTATTATCATTACTATTTTACAAATGTTGATAATCAAAGTGTCTTAGTTCAAACCATTTTAGATGTTGCAGTGAACTAATCAATTTTATTAACTGTGTAATGATTTTTAATTCTCATGCAAAGTTAGAATTCATGTTGAGGTCTATTACAGATTTTTATGCATTTTCTGACTTCTGCCTTTGAATGAGCAAGTGTACGTTTCCAGGGTCAGGAGTGAAGCAGACATGCGTTGGAACAACTGTCCTGTTTATATCCTCTCAGACATCAACAGGGGGTTTTGGCACCTGTTTCTTAAACTCGCCAAAACAAAACTCTCTCTGTCTGTGAGAACATTTCTGATCTTTCCATAACAATTCTTGCTGCATTCTAACCTTTTACGTCACAAAACACACCCCGTCTGGTCGGTTCTGGCCAATGGGAGACTCCCGTATGAACCGGGAAACAGCTCTTTAAAATGTCGGTACTTCCTGGTCTACTCAGTTCTGTCGGTGCTGTGAGGGTTCTACTCGGTTCGGTTGAGTTCAGTTCTGTTCAGTTCTGTGCGGAGAAGCCCAGTTCTGGGAGCCGGGAAGATCCTGACATGACAACAGAGCTCTTCCGAGTTTCATGGGATTATAACATTTTTCACTGAGGTGAGCTGTGGGAAAACAGAGTCTCGCCATTACTCCGGATGAGTAACAGCATCCTACGGAGACGCTGAAGGGTGCGTTAAACGGAATCTCGCCTGAGACATCTCCAGGTAAAAGAGTCGATTTCACCACCTAAGTGTACTGTAAGGAGAAGCTGAAGAAAGCCCGGAGAGTGCCGTTCTGTTCACACTCCCTCAAACACCATCTTTTACTCTTCTTTAAACTTCTTTCCCATCTTTAAACTCCTCTCTCAAGTAGAAATTCTTCCAGATATTTAGAAATGTCTGTGTAAAGTGCTCATCCACATCCGTGTGGGTAAAAGATCATAGTTGTACAGTTTTCATAAATGTCTGTGGTGAAGCAACGGAAAAATCATGGCCGTATGATTTTTCCTGATTGATTGCTTATGTTGTTATTTTCATAATTTGCCAAATTAATGTAAATGTTTGATGTTAAACTTTGATTCTGTAAATAAATGACCGCATTCATTTTGATGGGTCAAATATAAATGACGTCTCACGTTTGCATTTCATTAAATTCAATGCACGTTTTATTCAGTTCAGAAAAATGAGGAATCCGCGTTAATTGATGAATATATCTGAGCGTCTGTTCATCTACATTGCTGAAAAACAGCTGAAGTCAGCTAAAAAAAATATGCTGAAATGTAGCTGAAATGGAAGAACAAGCCTAAATTAGCAGAAGAAAGTAGAAAGAACATGTATTTGTTGAATTAGTTTTAAATAAGCAAAAATTAGCACAACAATTAGGAAATTAGCTTAAAAAAAAGGGCAAAAAAGTAGCTGAAAAGGTGGAAAGATGGTTAAACTATAAGAAAGACGTGGAAGGAGCTGAAAGGAGTTGAAAAATGTGGAATTAGCTGAAAAAGCTAAATTAGCATAAAACAACTAAACAGTAGCTGAAATAACTGAAACTAGCAAAAATAAGTTGAAAGGAGCATAACAAGCTGAAATTAGAAGAAATAAGTTACTTACGCTGAAAGAAGCAGAAATGTGCACAAAAAGTGGAAATTATTTGAAAAAAGCTGAATTTTTTTTTTTTTTTAAAAGCTGAAAAAGTTAGCTGAAAAAGTGTAACAAGCTTAAATTAGCATAAGAAAGCAAAAAAAAAAAACATGTGCGCCCAATTGGGCTGAAAGAAGAAGAAATTAGCACAAAAAGTGGAAATTAGCTGAAAAAAGCTGAAATTAGCACAAAAAACCCAGCTGAAAAGTAGCTAAAAAAAGCAAAAAGAAGCATTAATTACTAGAAGGAAGTGGAGAGAGCACATTTTTGCTGAATTAGGCTAAAAAATGTTGAAATGAGTGCAAAAAATGTGGAATTAGCTTAAAAAGCTATAATTAGCATAAAAACAGTTAAATAGTAGCTGAAATAGTAGAAAAAGCTGAAAATGTATAACAAGTTGAAATTAGCAGAAAGAAGTTAGAAGAAGCACAAAAATGTTGTAATTAGCAGAAATAATCTAAAAGGAGAACAAAACAGCTGAAATTAGCTGAAAGTAGCTGAAAAAAGTTTAAATTTGCAGAAGGAAGCTGAAAGAAGCTGAAGCAGAACAAAATGTGAAAGGAGCAGTAAAAGTTTGTAAACACATCTAAAGATCTGAAGGATGGAAAATGAACTCCGTTAATCTTCTGTGAGGGAAAAAAGTGTCAGAAAAGGCTAAATGTTTCAAAAAGCTAAAGTTGCACCAATATCAAAAGCCATAACAGGATTGTCCTGAAACAGCTGAATGTTTGGATTTACGATTTGTTGAAATAGCACAAAAACTGGAACAAGAAAGATGCTGAAAACCGTACGGAAGAAAACTGGATCGCAGTAGAGAATGAGAGTCACCCCAACACATACCTGGCAACCTCCTCTGTGTGTTACAACATAACTCACAAACCACTGGTTGGATTTCAATACATTTCTCAAACAGTAATCAATGGATGTTCACTACAACTGATGGACTATTAAAGCCAAGCCAGTTCAAGATGGCTGCCACATACGATGGGATGACATGAAAGGTGGAAGCGAGTGATATGCAAAGGTCTATCAATTTGATCTAGTGGATCCTGACCTGCCGCAGAAGTTCGGGGCTGAGCCACGGCAGCAGCGCCGGGCTGTGGTGGGGCATGTCGAACACGGCCCTCAGCCTCTTCCCATCACGCATCATACTGTAAACACTGTGAAGTCCTGACAGGTAGACCTGCCCCTCCCCTGACAGCAGGATGTGACTGGCCTTTACCCCCCTGAAAGACAAACATACGGGGAAAACTCAAGACATTTGGATAAAAAAAACCACAAATCCCTTCTGGAATACGTCTAATTCAGGCCTTCTGACCGGTGAACGTAGCCCATCCAGTGCAAGTATTTCAACGCTTTCAAAACGCCGTGCAGCAAGTACGCTATCAGGGATTCACTCATCCCATCTGGGAAATACGTTCTCAGTAAGGCATCTGCAGAACCTGCCGGCAAAAAGAGAGACAAGAGGACCACTTAGTAGATCATTCTGACGTTTAACGTGGTTTGTTTAATGGATGAAAGTGACATAGACCAACCGTAAGCCATGAGCGGCGTGAGGACCCAGAGCTGGCAGCAGGAGCTAAAGACCAGGCAAGACGTCAGCAGGTTCGGGTGGCGGAAGAGCCGAGTGAGCAGAACCTCGTTCTAGAGTTTGAGATGTAAAGAACATTACTTACTCGCAAAAGTGCTTTTGGTGTTTTATATCCCCTTTCTTCCAGTAGGTGGATGGAAGTTTGTTCAAATAACTGAACCATTCCTCTAGTCTCTGAAGTCGAAACAATGAAAACAGCCAGTTATTGTTTAGAATTAGCCAATGACAAGGAACCGTTTTGTGATTTTGGAACCCTATACACTGTTGCCAGGTTTTCCTTTTGTGGCTACTTCCATAGAACTTTGTGGGTATTTGCAAGCGTAGAGGTCTTAGCTCATCAGTCTAACCAGAAATAAACTCTCAAAATGGTTTCCATGGTTTTAAGAGTGCTGGTCTGAGCTCAGGTGATTTGAACAGTCAGGCTAAGTTCTGAAGACATTTTAAGTCAGTAGTGTCCAATCCCAGTTGTCAAGGGACACTGTCCATCACGGTTTAGTTGTTTGTATTGATTCCGTAGTTGAAGTGGGTCTTCAGGGTGTCCTTAAATTGGATGGATGGATAATTCTAGTTGAAAGTTAATAGTAGCTAGCTAAAGTTTTTTTTTTAAGTAGCAATTTGCTAGCTATAACATAAAAGCTCCAAAAGCTAGCTAAATGCTAATGGTAACAAAATGCTAGCTCAAAGTACAAAACATGGCAAATGGCCATCTTTTCATTCATTCAACCTTTATTTATACATTGATCCTAAAACCTAAAAGTCCCAAAAAGCTAACTAAAACCTAAAGGTGGCTAAATTTAAGCTAAATGCTAAAAGAAACAAAATGCTAGCTAAAAGTTGAAAGTAGCAGAAACTTTGGGAAGTTTCTGTGAATAGTTACTTTTGAAAAGTATAAACGCTACAAAAACCAACACTTGTAGCATTCATCTCCAGAACATTTTGATATACAAACAGTTAATACGGCACAAAGTATGCAGCAGTAATTAGATGCCAACAATGTACAGATTTTTTAATTTTTTTTTTAGGAAAATAGTGTGAATGCTGACTCTTGTTTTCCCACAGTGAGGAGGAAAGTGGTTTTGAGGACCAGGATTGGACACTACTGCTTTAAGCACCTTGGATGATTTGTGTGTGTACAACCATGCCCCATTCCTCCCTGATTAAACATCAGCTGAGACAGTCTGTAGAATAGGACCTTGGTACTGTAGTCCTGTTATTTTCACCCCAGCATGTCAAAAACAAATAACTAGGACTTCACAAATCGTGTCAACTTGCACAAAGTGGAAAGTTGTGTCTCCTTTCGGTGTAAGAGCTCACCATGAGCTGCAGCAGCTCCTCTTCTGTGCACTCGTCCAGGTTGGTTTGTTTGGCGGCCACCAGCTGGCCTGTGGGGATGTGGCGTGCCATGTTCACCTGGCTCAGGTTATTGAAGCCCCTCCCTGTGACACAGTGACTTAGCATGAAGTAAAATCTCACCGCTGCTCTTGAAGGACTCTGGTAAACATATTGGATTCATTTCACGTGTTTTTGCTGGTAAATGCCAGACTCACCCAGCTCAGCCAGTAGCTGGTAGTGGGCTGACTCGGTTGACAGCCCTGTGATGTCATCACCACCGGCTGGCCCTTGTAGAGTGTATTCAGAACTGTCACAGCTCTGCAAGAATACACACAAACACATAGGATGCAGGCTAAAAGCAAAAAATAAGGCCTCTTATCATTAAAAGTTAAAAAAAGAAAAAGGTTCAGTAAATATTAAGGCTAATATTACGGTGGTTACATGTGGGCGCAAAGCTTGAAAACTTTAATATTTCATAGCATTTTCCTTTAATTCTATTTTAAAACTCTTTACACCACAGTCAGTTTTGAATGTTATGGTTATTCTGACATGAAGTGCCACAGGATGCACCGGAAATGCTACAGCTAGCTGCTGACGCTAGCAGAACTGACATTTACATATTTAACATTTATTTTTTAGACATTTATTTACATATATTAAATAATAATTCTCTTCAGCTGGGGGCAGCTGTGGCTGAGAGGCAAGAGCAGTCGTCCTCCAGTGGGAGAGTTTTCATTCATTCAACCTTTATTTAGACACGTTAATCCCAGTTGGGGGTTCGATTCCACCAGCAGTCACATGCTGAAGTGTCCTTGGGCAAGACGCTGAACCCCTCATTGCCTCTGGTGTGTGTCCCATCAGTGTATGAATGTGATAAAGCTCTGATTAGTCTTTGTAGAGATCTAGTAGAGGGCATGAATGGGTAAATGAGGACACAGATTGTGTAGTAAAGAGCTTAGAGTGTCTTCATAAGATAGAAAGGTGCTATACAAGTACAGTCCATTCAGCTGTGCCACCTACACATTAGTAACCCTGTGTGAACTGTGGTAAAGTGAGCCTCCACTCGGAACCGTGACGCTGCAGCTTTTTCAGTCTGCTTCCTTGAAACAAACCACGGGTCAGAGCTCGTTTAGCCGTGCTGAGCCTTATGAGAGGAGCAGAGAGGTGGCAACATTAATAAATCAGCAGTTATATTACTAAGACACGGTCCAGTCTCAGCTGTGGAGCCACTAAGGACCATGTCTTTAGCGGTGTGACAAGCTGCTGATTTCTTAATGCCGCCACCTCCCTCTGCTCCTCTCATAAGACTCAGCACGGCTAAACGAGCTCTGACCCGCGTGGTTTGTTTCAAGGAAGCAGACTGAAAAAGCTGCAGCGTCACGGTTCATACTCCACTCCGCTGTTTAAACGGTGAAAAAGATTCGTAGTTCTAGGACTGTTTTCAGCATCGTCTACAGAAATAATATTTCTGCCCCATATCTGGCAATCTAAATGCAAACTAGCTCCGAAAGAAAAAAACTGCTTTGTTTTTCCTCAGCAGCTAAGCTCCTCATATCTCCCGTCGTGTTTACCTGTTGTGCTAAACGTCTCCGCCCACCTCCCGCAGAATCAGGAAGAAGGGGAGAGCGGCTGGGTTTGTGTTCAAGGAGGGAGAAGGAGGAGGGCGAGTGGGAGAAAGAAGGCAGCAGGAGGATTTCCAAGTATAAAACTATATTGTTTTATATCGAGATAGTCTCAACTTATATTGCAAAAAAAAAAAAAAAATCTCGATATTTAAAAAATATCGAGATATCGCCCAGCTCTAGGCTTATAGTCCAGAAATTACGGTAGTCGTCGCTTTCCCACAGTTTTCTCTGCATCACCTTGAGGACGTGACCCTACTGGCACTTAAATATAAATAATTGCGCAATGATGAGTGTTAATCATGAAGTCCTGCATTAGGATTTAGAGGAATATCATGTGATAGGAATGAATAAATGAGAACTGCATGTGGAAGGATGTCTGTCCACATGCCGACAGCATCCGGGCTACTGACCAGAAACTGGTGGCTGAGGTCTTCATAATGTTCCTCTATGTCCATGGGCTGGACCTGAGCGTGGGATATGCAGGAACAGTCCTGGGGAGGTGGAGGACAAAGGTGAGACATGCCCTAACAGGACAAGGAGGTGGAGGAGGAGGAAGGGAGAGTTTGGGAAGTGAAGGGGAATGTGCCGCCTCATTGGAAAATGGTTAGAAGCATCAAAGACAAACCAGGGGAGCAACCACCAGGAGACATGGAGCGTGACGGCACCCGTAGGACATTTCATGCGTGAAGAATGCAAAGATCGTTAAAGTGATGGCAGACAACAGAGAGGGAGAGCTGAATGACTTCAAGCAGAGCCAAGAAGTGGATGTCAGGGATAGACAGATGCACATACGTATCCGATACGTTCCCATAATGAACAGAGAGTCATAGCATAAAGTAGGTAAAACGCTTTCATTTACAGGTATACATAATATCACATAATACAAATATATAGGTAAAGGGTTACCAAACAAAATCACATGTGAGAAAATACAATACTATGCATTCTGATATGGTACCGTGTACGATGCCGTCATATAAAACGGTACAACGCCTTTAGACGATCTGTTTTTGGACTCGACGGTGGTGTTAGGCAACATCAACCTCAAGATGAACAAGAACACATAGCATAAAGAAATTTGTTGCTCTTACCAAGCGCTACAATGTAACAAATCTTGATATGATGGAGTACACTACAAGACGAGCCGAGAGAATTGAAGCCAAAACAGTTGAAGCCGATTGCATTGAATAAAAGCGGATACAATAAAAGACAAGCCAATATAAAACAATTACAAGTTGATATAACGCGAGCCAATAAGATTTAAAACAAAGCTATTTAATTACAATATGAAATAGACTAGGGGTGCACCAGTTGCAGTTTTCTGGCTGATCACCAATCTCGAAAAGCCTGACCTGCCATTTCAGATCTTGTTCTACAAGCGACACAGTCAGGTGTTCCAAGGTCAAAATGCACCTTCAATTATCCAATCTTATTTTATTGAAAGACATACCCTTGAACAATATCCTAGAAACAATACAAACTTGTTTTAACAGGCCACGAGATAGTGCTCTGAAATATAAATGAAGTTTAGACAATTGTTGTTAAAACTACAAAAAAAAAATCTGTTTCTCGTGCAAGTACCGACCGATCTCCAATCACCCAAAATTAAGGAAATTGGTGCAACCTTAAAACAGACTGATACAATCCAACACAACTCAGGCTGATGCAACACATTCCAATACAATTCATCCATTTTCTTCTGCTTATCCGGGGTCGGGTCGCGAGGGTAGTAGCCTTGAGAAGCCGGGCCAGAATTTAGGGAGGCGAGCCGGTCCCAGGAACAGTGGAAAAGACCTCAAACACACGTCAAGCCGGAAATATCCGGCCTGCGCCGTGACAGTAGAAAAAGGGCATAAGTAGGGAGGCCCAGACTTCCCTCTCCCCAGTCATTTGGTCCAGCTCCTCCGGGGGATGAATCCCAAGGCGCTCCCAGACCAGCCGAGAAACATAGTCTCTCCAATGTGTCCTGGGTCTTCCTCTGGGTCTCCTCCCGGTGGGAGGTGCCCGGAACACCTCACCAGGAGGCGTCCAGGAGGCATCCTAACCAGACGCCCGAGCCACCTCATCTGGCTCCTCTCGACGTGGAGAAGCAGCGGCTCTACTCTGAGTCCCCCCCGGATGACCGAGCTTCTCACCCCGTCTCTAAGGGAGAGCCCAGACGCCCTGCGGAGAAAACTCGTTGAGCTAAAATGTTGCTGATCAATTTGAATTTATTATTATTTATTGATTATATTCAATTTAATTTTTCAGTATCAAATGGTCAAAAATGTTTAGTTTAAAAAAGGGTTGTTTTTTTGTTTCCAGGCAAATTGATGCACTTTGAGTTGTTTCTGTTACAGACTCAAAAAACAACGTTAATAAAGTTATTCTTTGTTGTAAGTTGATCTATATTCTTTTTCTTTTAATGTTAATAAGGACGCAATGTTAGGCAGAGGTGTACTTATAACAACTTTATAGACATACTTTTTAGTCGCGGCGGAGAGTTGGGGGGCATAACAGACAATAATTGAGAAGCACTGAGCTAAGCTAACAGGCCGACTTCGGCAAAAAACCTCCGTCTTGTCGAAGCTCCAAAATTCACGGTTGAATTTCGTGTAAAACGTCGGGTTTTCTCTGCAAAAAACAGGACGAGCGTCTGCCATTTTGAGAACTGAAAAAAAGGAAAGAGAGACAGCCCATGTCACGTCAAGAGGCCTCCCTCCCATTTCTCTTAGAGACACGCTGCTCGCTCCCTCACTATCCATCCTTCAGTTCAAACCTTCTTACACTGCCATCCAGTGGTCAAAAAAGGTACTACACAAAAATTAACCAACATTTCTTCTTAAATTTGACATCACTAATTATTATTATTTGACAATAATTACTAATTATTGTCAAATTTCAAGCAATCTGTTCTCGTGACGGGCCTAATTGTTTCTTGGATATTGTTCAAGGGTATGTTTTTCAGTAAAATAAAATTGGACAATTGAAGGTGCACTGTGATCTTACAACACCCGACAGCGTCGCTTATCGATCTGCCACCAGGCAGAGTTCTCGGCAACGCCCTCTGTTGCAGAGCGGAGATATGACACGCCGCAGGAGGAAGCTTTTCCTGCAGCTCTGGGCTGCACACAGGTGCTAAATAATTTTAAATAATTTATTTTAAAAATTATTCCATATGCGGCTCATCCATCTATCAGCCAATAGATAAAGATATTTAGATTACACAATTATAGATTATTATTATTATACAAAGATATTTGGCGGTAATGCGTGACACTGAACATGTGACCCGCAATGAGACAGAATTTCTTGCGATGGAGAAACATGAAAATATTGCACATTTGCATAAAAATAAATCCATAAAACTCACAAAAATATAAGTTGGAGATGGAGAATTGGAAAATATTAACTCGTTATTTAAAAAAAAATCTTATTTGTCCCGCACAATGAAAACAAGCACCCCTCACACTAAGGCATGGCGGTGGTCTGCAGTGATTGGTGATGTGAGTTGATTCACGTTTCTTAAAAACGAGCTTACCAAGAAAGACATGGGGTCCTTGTGGTGGGGGTGAAGTCGCAGATTTCACTCATCCGCTCAGAGGATGCAGGCTGTGATGGAGGGAGGACAGGTGGAGGAGGAGAAGCGCTTGACAACTTCCGTCCGATAATGGGCTCACCTGTCTTCGTCAGCTCACCTGGACCTCCGAGGAAACTGTTCACCTGAGGAGGCAATCAGGAGGCGTTTATCCGTGTAAGTATAACGGGATTAAACATTAGCTCACTAAAGCCATGTTTTTTTACGCTCTATTTTTTTTTAAGCTCTTCTTTTGTAACAAAACGACAGCGCCTCAACGTAAACAACTTAGGAACACAAAGGAAGGTCGGACATTTTAGAAGACGGGTTACTTCCGGCTCGGTCTCTGCTGCGACTTTGCGTGGACAGAAACGGACATTATGACACGGAAGGATCCAACGCACGGGACAGTGTAGATCTGCCTTTGGAGGTTTTTAATTTGACACTGAAAGCCGGCGCCGTTTGATGATGTCACTTGTGACCTAAACAGGAAATGGAGGAGACGCGTCATTGAGTCCGCCATGTTGGGGAGGAAGAAAAGTTTGTTGTTGTTTTTTTTGGAAGAAAAGGTTTGGCGAACTGGGGAGTAGTTGATTAGTTACTAAACAAAAACTGTTTATGGTTTGTTTTTCGCTAACAAATTAATATTAGTATTAATATACAGTGAGCCATAAAAGTATTTAGTCAGCAAGTTCTCCTACTTAGAAAAATGAGAGAGGACTTTAATTGTCGTTATAGGTTCACTTCAGCTATGAGACAAAATGAGGGGGAAAAATCCCAGAAATCACATTGTAGGATTTTTAAATAATTTATTTGTAAATTATGGTAAAAAATAACCTTTGTTGGTCTTCACCAGGTTTGCACACTGTAGATGCTATTTTGGCCCATTCCTTCATGCAGATCTCTAGAGCAGTGATGTTTTGGGGCTGACGCTGGGCAACACAGACTTTCAACTCCCTCCACTAATTTTCTATGGGGTTGCGGTCTGGAGACTGGCTACGCCACTCCAGGACCTTGAAATGCTTTTTACGGAGCCACTCCTTCGTTGCCCGAGCCGTGCGTTTGGGATCACTGTCGAGCTGGAAGACCCAGCCACGTTCCATCGTCAATGCGCTCACCGATGGAAGGAGGTTTTGGCTTAAAATCTCATGATACATGGCTCCGTTCATTCTTCCCTTAACACGGATCCGTCGTCCTGTCCCCTTTGCACAAAAACAGCCCCAAAGCATGATGTTTCCACCCCCATGCTTCACAGTAGGTATGGTGTTCTTGGGATGCAACTCGGCATTCTTCTTCCTCCAAACACGACGAGTTGAGTTTTTACACGATCAACAACAACATGCTTAAAATAGTATCTATTTGAGCCAACAATTTTCAGTCAGGTCATCTGGACAATTTTTATTTTTTTATTTTTTTGCCGTAATGCTGAAAAAAAGAAACTGTCCAGATGACCTGACTGAAAAGTATTGGATCGTATACCTGGATTATTGAGCATGGTCTATTTGAGCTCATCAAACTAAAGAACTGTAAATATGTACAACACACGTATACACATACATAAGTGCCATTATTTACACAAGAGGTGCATCACGTTCGCAGGGCTTCATTTGGTGCAACAGTCGCTACCGCCAGAAAATGTCACCCAAGAGAATTGAATGAAGCTTCAGGTAGTGAACCACTTTATGGCACAATGGTTCAAAATGATTCTATGTTTCAAAAAGCCTCATTTTGACATAGACACAGAACTCTGTGAACAGCTATGAACTTTTGTGGCGTACCCATTTTATGGAGGGCATCAATGATGGTCTTCTGGCCAGTTATGTCTGCAGTCGTCCCCATATTGAACCGAACTGAGACAACTGAATAAAAATGAAGCAATTCAATGACACCTGGGGAAACCTGTGCAGGTGCTTTGAGTTTAGTAGATGATTAGTGTCACACTCAGTTTAAAACATTCATGCCCTGCAACATTTGGACTGATTTCTGCACAGTATTGTAATTTTTTGAATTCCTGTTTTCATAGGCTTCATGAGCTGGAAGCCCAAATTATGTAAAAATAAACAAATAATTTTTTTAATGGAATTATGGAAGTTAAACAACTTTTCCATGATATTCTAATTTTTTTGGAAAAGGTCTGTATCCTCTACAAGAGTTAAAAAATAAAAAATAAATCTGAGTCCCGCTTCTTCTACTAGTGATTATGAAAATATCGCCCCCTTTAGTTCCGGAGTGTAAAAGTCCCACTTCCAAATATGGTATGGGGCTGACGCTCGTCTGTCCACGCCCCTTTCCGTGGCAGGATGACACTCCTCCATTGTTTGTGGCTTCGGGTGGAGGGTTCGGCTCGCGCCGCGCGCACCGATGGAATTTCCCACGCTGTGGATAAACACAGACACAGGGTGAGCTTTACGTGAACTAAACGCACTCTTTGTGCTTTTCGCATTAGCCCGTGACACCCACGGTTGCTAGTTTGAGCTCGCGCGTGGGGGAATAAATCGCGTCCTTATGACGCGGTCATCCGCACGAGCGAGAACCGTTAGCTCAGTCGCCTCTTTATTTTTTACCAGCCTTAACGTTATTGGTCGCTTGAGCTGAAATGTTAAATTTCAAAACAATTCACCGCAGTACGAGATAAATATTTGCTAATACCTTTAAGCTAACGGACGCTGCGTAGTCCAGAGGTTCCTGCAGCGCGAGTCGTCACGCGCCGCTTCCCTCGCCCTGAACATCCGGTTTGTCTAAATCTCCAACTGGAAGTCAAAAAAATAAACATTTCACATTAGCTTCAGATAATTCTGTTAGTTTGGACTTGATCCCGTGTGTTGATCTTAAAAAAAAAAAAAAAATGCCACGCTTAGCCGCTTTTATAGGATTCAAGATGTCATTGGTATATATTGACAAGGCGGAAAGACATCAGCAATGACCTCTGAAGTTATTACTGCTGCTCATCAATCTGGGAAAGGTCATTTACTAAACAAACAAAAGGAATCCATCATTCAAAGGAGACTTCTTATTCCCAAATGGAAAACAGGTAAGCCAATCTTCCCAGAAGCGGTTGACCCAGAAGGTCAGACTGTGTAGTGATTAGAGAAAAACAACCCAACGATTTAGAAGGCTTGTTCAAGGCTGTTGCTCTTTCCACACCAGAGTCAGCTTCAAAGTTAGCCAGCTGGCAAGAGAAGTCTATATTAAACGATGTATTTACTAGGCCTGTGGCAATAAATCAATTAATCGCACGATAAATTAAAATTATCGACCTCGTTTTCATTTATCGGTTTTATCGTTTCTTCGTGTCTTTCTACTGAAGACACTGGATGACAAAAGACTCGACTCCGGTGCTCGTCGTCACCGACTTCTCCCTTTTCTCTTTAAAATCCATTTTAACCGTGCAAAGCCGCATTTTTTGGATCATTAAAAGAAGCTACGCTGAGAAGCTAAGCTAACGGGCCGACCTCGGGAATAAACTTGTCTTCGTGTAAAAAGTTGTTTTGTTAACTGATATTTTTTTAATTAAAAGCTTTGTGTGAAAAATGCTATGCTAAATATCTCAAACCACACCGAGCGTCCGCCATTTTGAGAACCGAAAAACAGGAAGGCGAGACCGCCCATGTCACGTCAAGGGGCCTCCCTCCCATTTTTCATAAAGAGACACGCTGCTCGCTCCCTCACTATCCATCCTTCGGTTCAATCTTATACTGCCATCAAGTGGTCAATAAAGGTACTACACTCAAAATAAAATTAACCCACATTTATTGTTAAATTTGACAATTAAAAATTATTGTCAAATTTCAAACATCGCAATAATTTTTGAGACAATTAATCGCCCAGAAAAAATTATCGTGACAGGCCTAGTATTTTATCAGTTTCATTAAACAATTTAGAAGAGCTACAGTATTTTTAGGGGTGCACCGATTTCAGTTTTCTGTCCGATGTCTAAAAAGTCCGACCTGCCGATACCGAGTTCGACATGTGATGGACCACAAGACCTCTGGAACAACGTCTTGCACGTATGAGACCCAAGTAGAGATGTTTGCGCGTACCGCATCCTGCATCTCACCATGTCCTCTCCAACTGCATCCGTAGGTCTCCTCTTTGTCTTTTTCCTGGCAGCTTGTCTTTCTAACGTCCTTCTACCGTCCCGTTTGTCAAAAAGCCAAACTGACCCGTCCTACCAGCTGTCAAACACTCAAGTGGTTTGAGCTCGTTTTAGCAGCTACATTGTGTTTTAGCCAGATGATCTTATTCTCCCCTGAGCGGTTTTCATCTGGAGGTCAGAGGCTGCTTGTGGGCGAAACCGCACAAATTTTAACAGAGTGAAAGTTTATGAAGCGTTCACTTTATTGTGATCCGTTTTTTTATTCCCCCCTACATTCATAAAGTCCGAGAACGTTTTTTTTTTTTTATTCTTCGGCGTCTTTCTCGTTCCACGGTTTTTGTTCCATTTCAACAACTTGTAAATCAAAACGTTCAGCTCGTTCAGAAGGCTGCTATGACTTTTGGTATTGGTGCAACTTTAGCTTTTTTAAATATTTAGCCTTTTCTATTTAAACTTTTTTCAGCTACTTTTAGCTAATTTCAGCCGTTTTTTTTCAGCTGCTTTGTGCTCTTTTCAGATTCGTTTTGCTAACTAGTACATTTTTGTGCTTCTTTAATTTCAGCTTCTTATGCTCCTATCATCATATTTCTGCAAATTTCAGCTTTTTCTGCTATTTCAGCTGTGTTTAATTGTATCTTTTTCAGCTAATTTCACATTTTTGCACTTGTTTCAACTTTTTCCAGCCTCATTCAGCAAAAATGTGCTCTCTCCACTTCCTTCTGGTAATTTAAGCTTATTTTTGCCTTTTTTTAGCTACTTTTCAGCTGTTTATTTCAGCTTTTTTCAGATAATTTCCACATTTTGTTCTCATTTTTGCTATTTTGATTCTAACTGGACAAACGTGTTCTTTCTGCTTTCGAATGCTAGTTTTACCTTTTCCGCTAGCTTTTAGCATTTTTAGCTAATTTTAGCCGTTTTCAGATAAATTTGTGTTTTTCATTGTAAATTTTTGCTACTTTCAGCCTAATTAACTTCTTTATGCTAATTTCTGCTTATGCTCCTTTCGGCTAGTTTCAGCTTTTTCTGCTACTATTTAGCTCTTTGATGCTAATTTTAACATTTTCAGCTAATTCCACATTTTTTTAGCTCGTTTCAGCTCTTTCCGCTTCCTTCTTGTAGTTTAAGCTTCTTTTTACCCTTTCAGATAAAAAAAAAAAAACAACTAATTTCATTTTTTTGTGCTAATTTCTGTCATTTAAACCAAATGTATTTTTAAATAACAATTTTTAAATGTGTGTTATTGTTGCCATCTTATAACTTAGGCTTGTTCTCTAATTTCAGCTACATTTCAGAACGTTTTTTTTTAGCTCGTTTCAGCTGTTTTTCAGCAAATTCTTCTGCAATAAGCATTCACACTGCATTTTCACAGGAAGTGCAGTTTCTCTAGTTTAATTTCTGTGTTGTATTTTGCAAAGACTCGTGTGAGCTTCGCTGGCTGGGACTCTTCGATGACTCGCAGGCGTTTAATCGGAGAAGACGAAGCGAGCGTTGGAACAAATACAAACATAATGGGGGCTGAGTCTATTCGCCAAGCCGTACTAATGATTAATTCATTGTGTATAAGCTGTATGAGGCTTAGCAAAAATAATCCCACCATCAGTCGGTCGATATGAGTATATTTGGCAAGCTTCGTTGTTTTAAGTCTATGGTTGGGTTTCTTTGAATCTCCTATATGAAACGAGCTGTCTCAGCGTACGATGGTGTAAGCAGAGGTAAAAACTGGAAACATGATTAGCATCGTCTTGTTCCTGCGTGGACTCTTTCCTCTGATATCTACTTGTCCTTTCCGTCTGCAGGTACAGGTGTGCATGGGCACAACATTAAGTGGACAGGATGTGATGTCACAACCTTAACCGCTCCGCTGTCTGGTCCACCTTGATGTTTTTGCAAGTGGGGAGCCCTTCCCCACACTCCAAGGACAGGGTATGTTCGAAATGAAACCCCGGGCAGTGGAGAAGAAGGAGTCGAGCACCGAGACAGGCGAGTTGTTCGTCGACGTCCTCTCAGCTAAATATTTACACAGAGTGAAAGAGTTGAGGAAGCCATATTGTTTCTGTCTTTTAAAGACAGACTTTCCTGTAATCATTGGAAGTGGCCTTGAGCCATCTGAAGGTCTTTGGAGTTTGGCCTTTTTTTTTTGGACCCATTATCAATAATCAATTCAGTTTACAGAAAAAGTAGCATGCTGTGCAACGGGGTGCAGTGTGTTTTTACAAAGCTAAGGAAATTGGGGATGAAAAAGGAGTGGCAAGTTTTAAAAGCGTTAACAACTTACGACCAGAAGCTAAAAGTCAAGGCAATCCTTCAGTTGATCTTGTTGGATGTCAAAGTTTCAGCTAATAGCACTTTGGTAATCATGTGTTTGATGCTAAAGTATTATTTTAAGTCGGTCAGATGATGCTTCCTTTGGTATTTTGTATAAATGCTAAAACAAAGGGATACCATTTTTCCTAAGCCACATAATGTGTAGGGGTGGAATGAATCTATCGGTAGCTCACATTTTGATAATTCCAAGGGCTTTTTTTATAAAAATGCAGAGTACACGACATAAGATTCTCGGACACTAGCTGTCCATGCGCCACATTAGAGCTAACTTACCTGCTTTCCTCCGTCTTTCCACCACATTGTTTTTTGTGTAAAGGGTGAGAACGGCTGAATTGGTCTCCTTGACAAAGAATGATCATGTTCTACTGAAAGAGTGCCACATAAAGTAGTATCTCACAGGGTTGCATTTGTTGGAGACGAGTTCACGAGTCAAAATTGCAAGAAAATGGGCAAATTTTCCATTGCTGTCTCCCTGAATTTAAAGTGTTCAAAACCAAGTGACTAGTGATTGTGCTTTGTGCTGCAAGTTTTTTTTTTTTTTTTGGCGATAAAGAATACGGCCTATTTTTGTGTTCATGACTCAGAAAACTGTGTTTAAAGCCATATAAATTAATTTGTTTCCCACCTCTACCTGCATTGTACCTTGCTGCAAATATTTTGATTCAATCTGGAAACTCCCTTGCAAATACGGTTCATCAATAGTCGCCAACAGTCACTGACAATTTCTAACATCTTCAATTGCGGTCAACAATGGTCACCAACAGTTTCAAACAGTCACCAAGGGTTCCCAATGACGCCAACAGTCACCGATAGTTTCCAAAAGTTTCCAACAACACTAACAATCACCAACAGTCATCAATGGTCACCAATGATGTCAACGGTCACCAACAGTTGCTAACAATTTCCAACAATCACCAACAGTAGCCAACAGCTACCAACGGTCCCTACCGATGCCAACAGTTACTGATGGTCACCATTTCAAAGGGTCACCAACGACACCAACAGTCACCAATAGTTACCAACATTTTCCAACAACATCAATGATCACTAGCAGTCACCAATGGTTACCAGTAGCCACCAATAGCCACCTACGGTCAACAATAGTTACCAACAGTTTCCAGTAATACCAACAATCACCAGCAGTCACCAATGGTCACCAATAGTCACCTTTGGTCACCAAAAGTCACCAGTAGTTACCAACAGTTTCCAACAACAATGATCACTAGCAGTCACCAATTTGTCACCTATGGTCTTCAACAGCCACCAACAATCACCAGTGATGCCAACAGTCACCAACGGTCACCGACTGTTGCTAACAATTTCCAACAATCACCAGCAGTAGCTAACAGTCACCAACGCTCACTAACGATGCCAAGAGTTGCTGATGGTCACCAACAATCACCAACGGTCATTATTTACACGTAGGCTCTTACACTGGTACATCTTCATCTATAAATCTCTCATTGGTCTGCTACCTTCTTATATCTCCTCCCACGTGTCACGACATCAGTGCAGTTACAGCGTTTACTCTTCTGGATGAAAAAATGAATGCAGTTGAAATATATATTTCTCTGGTCAACACCATTTGTGTCCATGTCACACTGCAAGGTATCAAAAATAGTTCATGACCCCCACCCCTGATAACTGGTTCAAACCTTGAGATGCTCTTGAAAGGTTAGGAGATGTTAAGTGTCTTAACGTACCAAAAAACTTTTTCAAAAAATGCTCAAGTAAAAGGACTGGACTGAAAATGAGTGGAAAAATCAGCAAAGAACATTTTTAGAAGATCCTTTTTTTTTTTTTTTAGATATTTTTAGAAACCCTGCAGAACTATTCCTTGAGACCTTTTAAAAAGATGAATAACGTCTAGCTTTTTGAAGGTAAACTATAACAAAACAAAAGCAAACTATAGACATTTCTTCACTGGAAAGGTGTCTTTAGTGTTGTGTTTCAGATCCCTCTCTTCCAGAGTACTGCTCTTGCCCCCCTCGGTACAGTATGCCGAGTCTCATGGCCGGATGCTATTGTTAGCCCCATCTGTCCCAGTAAACCACATATTTACTCAAGTGGAAGGACATGGACAGTGCTGAGCCAAGAGAGAGCGCGCACAATCATTCACAAGCTTTAACTGGGGATCTTTTCCCATTGCGGCATGCCTAGAAAACCCCCAAAGGGAGGCGTCCAATCCTCGAGTCTTTTGTTTAATTATTAAGTAAATAACTTACAACCATATCAGGCAAATTTGCTCAAGTGCTCGGCTCTTAAAAACTTAGTTTCGGTCTTTGAACGATTGCACAGTTGGTCCTGTGGTTGAGCTGGTTTCGGAAGGTGGACGCACCTGAGGAATGTGTCATTCTTAGTCACTTATTTAGAGTCCATACTGGTCCAGGTTTTATAGCAACTTATCTGACTGCTGTTCACGTTGACAAGACAGTTGTATTTACTGGCTCCTTTTGATTATTGCACTAGTTAAGCACTTATATGTGCAGTATGGTTTTATAACCCTCCTGCTACACTTGGGCCACAATGGCTCACAAGACTATAAAACTGAGGCCTCATGGGTCATTTTGACCTAAGGTTAGCACGATTGTTATCCTTAGCCATTTCAACCATGACTCATAATATGATTGAGCTTTTTATTCCAACAATTCTTTGACAGTCTATATATAAGCCAATACTTCTTTAACAGTAGGGGTGCAGCACCCTCTGCACCCCTACTTCCCACAGCTTTGCAGTTTTTCTAAAACAGTTGTTTCGTAACTTTAAATTTACAGTAGTAAACCACTGAATGAAACGGACCCTGGATGTGTATTTGTTTAACTTCCAGATGAGGGACTGGGCAGCAGCGGACGGCATTACGGCTCTGGCTCCCTGGGCTCTGGATCCGTTGGGTCCTTGTACCTGTCGGACAGTCAGGACTGGGTGGTTTCCCCGAGCTGCTCTCCAGACGAAGGCCCAGGCCCGATCAACGCCATCTCCCCCATGCTGGCCGAAGAGACTCTCCGCTATATGAGTAAGTTCATTTTTTCTAGCACTGCTCTAGTCTAGGATTTCATCAGGACATATGACTTCTAGTTTTTTTAAATCATTATACAACAGACGAAACGTGAGGGATTATTTTTATATGGCTCACTTTCAGAGGAGCGAAAATCCCTGGGCTTTACTGCGGCTATTATTGGCACAGGGTTTATCTTGATGCTACACTCTAATCATGTGTGCGAGAGAGGAGCGTAGATATCCTGCCAGAGTTCGGTGCAGCCGAGTTCAAAGCCGAGGCCAGAGTCACAAGCCTTACTGGGGGTTGGTTAGCGTTGCAGGGTGGACAGACTGAAGATGAAGACTGGACAGTAGTAAAGAACAATGCCGGTTTTAAACGTCCACAATGAGGAGGCGTTCGATAACTTCACTGGAAGGTGAGAGCTGGGTCATTCCATCATTGATTCTGATGTGGAAAGAGCAACAGAGCATCAAGTGAGACAGATCAAACTCTTGTTCATGAACCTGCAACCAAGAAAAGATATTGTGTATCTATGTGTTGAAAGGAAAGGAAGTGGGCAAGCCTCGTTTAGTTGTAGTAAGCAGGAACTATGTTAAGCTTCAAAAAGTCAACTTCCCGTTTGTTTTACCCCACACATGCAACAATTGCAGCGCAGCTTTTGTTTACGTCCTACATCGATGCAATACGCATTAATGATCATCCTGCGCTCGAAAATACGCCAGTATGATATTCAGAGATAGGTGTGAGGAAGTTTTTGCCAAGTGGTCCAGTCTAATATTACCGTCTGCTCTACTTATGTCGTGTAAAACCAAACACCGCCTGTTAATAACACCAGCACAGACTCGGCGTGCTGATAATCGAATGAACTTAGAAACAACTGCTCAATTTGTAAAACACGCCTGACACTGTTTTAATAACCAAAAATATCGAGACAATGCAATAATCTGGCTGCTTTCTGGTTTCAAGATATGCTACGTAAAAAACAATTGCGTGAATGCTTTTCTCTTTAACAAGATGTCAAAGACGGTACGTGCTTTTACTGTTCTATGTAGCATCCCTCCCCCGCTCCAGCTGTCAGACAGCTGTGTATGAACCACGTATGTCGAACTCAAGAGCCGCGGGCCAAATCTGGTCCCCCAAGATGATCTAATTTTTTATTTAAAAAAACTGATACATCATTTAGTATAGACTTCTCTCACCAGCTGGCTAACTTTGAAGTCCGAGAAAAGGCTGGATCGTTCCGTCATTGATTCTGATGTGGAAAGAGCAACAGAACGTCAAGTGCGACAAATCGAACTCTTGTTCATGAACCTGCAACCAAGCAAAGATATTGGGTGTCTGACTCGAGTTAATATATCAGCTGAAACTTGCCCATGGCTCAGACAAAGTTTTTAAATTTTGGCTCCTTTGGGTAACTGAGTCGGTCTAATAATTTGGCTAGCTTAAAACCGGCTAATCAAACAACTAGCATTAGCCTGTCGGCATTTATTGGAGTTATTTGTGAATAATTTTCTTTCTTTCCTGAGACAACTCCGTCCTTAGCTTTCCATCATGTTCAGAGCGGTACACGCAGTGAAGCCAAACAGCACTATGACTACCTGTTACCCAAAATAGGCAGACTCGCTGATTACAAGACCCAGCTTCGTTTAACATGTCCTGATGGGTTAAATTGTTTTAAATCTGTATTTTCAATCCTTTTGTTAAGAGCAGTTTCATTAGTTGTTTGTTTTTTTTAAACTGAACCAAAATTCTCGAGCAGTGGCTGATTTGCTTTAGTTTGTTTTTATATTTTTAACTTCTTCAGCTCGCTTTGGTCAGTTTCAAGTTATCTCGGTGACCGTCGTAGAGTTTTTCTTTCATTCCTCATTTCAGTCCTCGAGGCTCAATGGGATTAACCTGTGTAAGTAAAGATTGAGTGAATTAACCAAAGGATTTATGTTGGCCTGTCATGATTACAAATTTTACTGGGGGATCAATTGTCTCAGAAATTATTGCGATAAACGATAATATTGTTTGAAATTCGACTATATTTAGTAATTATTGTCAAATTTAAGAAGAAATGTTGGTTAATTTTTGTGTGTAGTACCTTTTCTTGACCAGTGGATGGTAGGGATGTGCGATATGGCATAAAATTCATATCACGATATGTATTGTGATGGGTGGCGGTAACGATACATATCATGATATGTTTTTGGTATAAAACTTGCAATAAGAATGAAAAAAGCATAGGGTGTCATTTTGGCATAATTTATTTTGAAAACTGTATCTCTGCGAGTGGACCGTGGGAACTAAAACGATCAAACCAGACCGAGGTTCTACGTCACCCGTACCACGACGTTACGCTTCAGGCAACAGAAGCCGTGCCGAGTCGAGGCTATTTTTAACCGTGGGGGACGGCAGCGGTCAGATCCAGAGGTCACCGCGAGCCTCAGATTACCGGACGTGAGCTCATCTGTTTGCAGCAGCTGCCTCGCTCCGCGTTTAATCCTCGCCTACAAGGAGATCGTTGGAAAAAGACGTCATCTTCGCCCTCTAATGAAAGCTGACTGCATGGTTTTAACTGTAAAGGAAGTGTTCAGAATGATGGGCGAGTGTCCGGTGGAAAAGGCCTCTCGGTCCAAACAGTCACCACTTCTCTCTACACAGGTGGAAGGGGAAGCTGAGCAGCGCTGGTGACGCCCACTCAGGTCCAAAAGCCGTAACAGACTAACGAGTAGATTCTCAGACTGTGAACAAACTAATGGTTTTATTTATTGAAGCTCTTCTTCAATAAATCAGCTCCTTCTGTCTCACCTGCTCGGGCTTTTCTTATGTTTCTCCCCAGCTCTTCTTTCGTTAAACAAACTGGTTGTCTGTACATCTGAACTGTTCCTTCTTCTTCTCTCACTAGCGTATCTTGCTTTGGAGCCGTCTTCTTATTCCCACCTTGGCTCTCAAAGCCTCTCCAAAGGTATCTGTCTCTCCTTGCCTGCCTGATCAGTTCTCCAACGTCCTCCTTTAGCACCAGAGTGAACAAGGGGCTTCGGCTGACCTTCAGCTCGGAGCCCCTCTTTGCTTTTTGCATGTAGTTGACAGCAAGGTAGTATCTCACTGGGCTGTTTTTGGTGTTAGCAACTCAAATGAGAGAACACAGGCTTACTTTTTGTTTCGCTCGCCGAGTTCTGAGTGCGACCAGCCACATGTCGCATGACCGATTTTTGAAATATCAGTCCATTTTCTAGGGGTGGGACTCTTCAGTCACCTCACGATGCAGTTACAGTTCAGAGGGCTGCGATGTAATTGTAAAAAGACAATCAGTGCATTTTGATTACACTGAAACTTAAACAACTTATCCAAGATAAATAGCACATAAATATAAATGCTATAAATCTATTTTCATGTGTAGCAAAGAGTGCTCAATAACATCTGTCAAACGTCTCAACGATCACAGCCTGCTGACTAAAATGTAGCATTGATGCTAATTAAACATTGAAAACTAGGGATGCACGATATTGGATTTTTGGCCGATACAGAAATTTTATATACGTTCCTTTGTCAGAATATAACCCTCTTATTTAGGCTTATTTTCTACAAAAATTGTGCAACAGCTGTAAGAGCTGGTGACATATATTCAGTAACAGCGCTATGGCTAACATATTAAATTTAAAGTGTTAAATGTTATTTATTAGCATTAGTCAGCTGCGATGCTGTCTCATTGTGGAGGTTTGTTCCAGGTTCCTATAGCTGCAGTGTGGGATCCTCTGCACTCCTGTGCACGAAGGACAGACTTTTTAAGTTCAAAGTTTTTATCTATCCATTGTGCCGTAAGACTAATCATGCTAACGGGGCTAACACGATTGGCTGTTAGCTTCTCAACGACGTCGGAAATGACGGCTTGTAGCTCGAGTAAAGCTACGTCGGAAAAATCTCTCCGACTGGGGGGCGATGCAGCGAGGCTCAACGTAGTCCAGAAATCTTCAGAATCCGACATCCTCAATGAAAATAAAAAAAAAAAAACTTCCACACCGCCGACATTTTGACTTCTTCCTCTCCGCCGTGATCGGATCAGGTAGGCGTGCTTGACGTCATCATGTTGTGCTGGCGCTGCAGGCGTCCTCGTCACTGGGTTGTCCTAAAAAAACAGCGCCTTTTATATCGGTGAGTTATTTTGTTGGAATGGCCGATGTCCGATATTTAACTAACGCTAATATATACTGATACCATGCCGATAATATTGTGCATCCCTATTGAAAATGCTAAAGAAAAGCTAACAAAATTAGCATAGTATCACTGGACATTTATACACAAGTGAACAACTCGAGACTCGTCTGAAGATTTCTTTGCAGATTCTTTTGAAAACCTTTAATTTTACGCAGCAAGACTCTGAATGTTTTGAGATGTTCTGAAGACATCTTAACAAATCCCATTAGCCAACTAGTTGAGATACTACCTGTAGCATGCGTTTGGGGGTCTCTGCTTCCATTTAAAGCTAGTTTTGCTCCTACCGTTTGACGGCTAGCCGCCTCACTGTAGCGTTGTGATTGTCACAAATGCTTTGTTGTAGCACTTCCTGTGCAGCCTGGGCCACTTCCTGCAAGAACACCATACGATTTTTGTCAGAATAAAGGCAAAGTGAACTTATTAATTGTGTAAAGCAGTGGGTCCCAACCATGGTCCTTGAGGAATGCCATCCTGCATGTTTAAGTTGTTTCCCTGCTCCAACACACCTGATTCAGTGATTTTATTACTTCCCAAAGTTCTGCCAAAGCCCGTCAAAGCAGGGAAACAACTAAAACATGCAGGGTGGTGTTCCTCAAGGACCAGTGTTGGGAACCATTGGAAAAAAGAAACGTTGGCGTGAAATTTTTGACAGTGAAGTTGTTTAAAATGGCAGAAACGCATGTAGGTTCAGACTAGCCAATGCTATTTATCCAAACTGAACTCGTTTAAAGAACTTTACAGCTAAATAAGCTTTTCCATTAAGCTCCACCTTAAATATTTGCTTCAAGTCAGTGATTGGCTGCAGTTGAACAATTATCGCTACAACAGGGTCATTTGACTTCAGTTAAGAAGTAGATTATGAGCCGCTCCTGCTTTTAAATGTAGTAAGTTAATCCCGCATGCTGGGCTGAAGTGTTGGTTTGGAGTATTAGTGTTTTTTGTGCGGTATTGTTGAGTGTACATTTTTGCTAGCCTGTTAGCATTCGTCTAAAGTTCCCTCTGATCAGTCCTCAGTGCTGACCGCGTGGAGCAGATGACCAGGACCTACAATGACGTTGACGTGGTCACGCACCTTTTGGCTGAGGTAAGGTGACCGTCTTTTCGGTAGAAATCAGTTTTTACTTTCCTCCCGATAAGCCGAAGCCCGTCATCCGACTGTGTGCTCTTACCGGACAGCGAGACAGAGACTTGGAGCTCGCGGCTCGGATCGGTCAGTCGCTCCTGCAGAGAAACCACCTGCTGCAAGAACGCAACGAGGCCTTGGAGGAGCAGCTAGCTCAGGCTGTGGACCAGGTAGGTCACGTCCAAACGTTTTAAGTAGGAATTATAATAAAATCTTTCATTTAACAAACAATTACCGTACTTTCCGGACTGTAAGTCGCTACTTTTGTCACGGGCTTTGAACCCCGCGGCTTATAGACAAGCGCGGCCTATATATGTGAACTGAATCGAACACTTTATTTTTATTTAGTGGGCGTGGCTTATATTTGGGTGCGCTCAATAGTCTGGATATTACGGTACCTTTTAAACAATTAAAAACACGCTTTCAACTTTGTGAAATTACCCATAAGGTATGTGAAAAGAATGGAAGGGTTGAAAAGAAGAGTCTAACGTTAGGTTTGTTTTCTGCTGCGAAATGAGCCATTTTGATTCAACCTTGAAAATAACGTCGTGCACAATCCCACGCAATTCAGCGTAATCTTGTTCAACCCGTTAGCGCTCAGATTATGTTTTGAGAATGACTCTCAGCTGCTACCACACCTAATTTGAGCTTAATAACTAAAATACAGTGAATTGTAGCTATTGTGGTGGTATCTAAGGTGGATTAGCCATGTTGGCCATTTTTTATTAGATTAACTCCAGAAGGTGGGAACATGCATCTAACAATTACTTTGACAGTTTAATGAAAATCCATCCAGTGGTTTGTGACATATTTTGCTAACAGACAAACTGAGCAGTTATTGGCAAAGTTTAGAAAAAGATCTCGTGCAATCAGTTGGAGCACATGTTGATGATTCCCAGCCTCTGTCGTAACAAACCTCAGCTCAATATCTGTGAAACTTTGAGTCATTTTTGTGTTTCGTTGGCTGTGGCGGCCATCTTGAATCACGTCGAGCTCTCCTCAAATCGACCAGGTCAACCAGCTGCAGCATGAGCTCAGTAAGAAGGACGAGCTTCTGCGGATGGTGGCCAGCGCCACCGAGGAGAGCGAAATGGACTCCAGTGCGTCCACCTCCGTGCAGCACCCCGTGCCGCTGGAGGGGGCCGCCGCCGCTCTCAGCCAGCTGGAGTCTCTGCAGAACAAGCTGCAGGAGCTGGAGGAGGAGAACCAGGCGCTGAGGTCTGAGGTACGAGCTTCTGTAAATATGACCACGTGATTTATCCTCCTGGTTGCTGTTCAAGGATCTGGGTTCCTCTGCTGGTTTCATGCGCATTTACAAACCTAATCTGGAAAAAGTAATGATTTGCAAATTTATTCACAGTGGATCATAAGAAACATATTAAATGATTAAACCAAGAAATTGTTTCTTTTTTTAATTAGGGAGCTATTAAAACTTTTATGACGGCAACTAATCTAAAATCTAGAGAAATCTAATTTCCTGCAAAAATGCGTTGTGAATGTTTATTCCAGAAGAACTTGCTGAAAAACAGCTGAAATGGAAGAACAAGCTCAAGTTAGCAGAAGAAAGCAAAAAGAACACATATTTGCTGAATTAGGTTTAAATAAGCAGAAATGAGCAAAACTTAGGAAATTAGCTAAAAGCTGAAATTAGCTAAAGTAGCTGGTAAGGCAGAAAGAAGCTTAAACTACCAGAAAGTGGAAGGAGCAGAAATTAGCTAAATAAAATGTGCAATTAGCTGAAAAAGCTAAAATTAGCACAAAACAACCTAATAGCTAAAATAGCAGAAATAAGCTGAAAGGAGCATAAGTTGAAATGTTGAGGAAGAATTTAATTAGACTGAAAGTTGCATAAATTACCACAAAAATCTTGAATTTATCTGCAAACAGCTGAAATTAGACAATAAATGCTTAAAAGTTAGTTGAAAAGGTAGAACAAGCTTAAATTAGCAGAAGGAAGTGGAGCGAGCACAATTTTGCCCAATTAGATTGAAAGAAGCAGAAATGAGCTCAAAAAGTGGAAATTATCTGAAAAAACGATTAAATTAGAAGAAAAAAACAGACTGAATAGTAGCTAAAAATCAAAAAGAAGCTTAAATTACCAGAAGGAAGTGGAAAGAGCACATTTTTGCTGAATTAGGCTGAAAAAAGTTGAAATTAGTGCAAAATATGTGGCGTTAGCTGAAAATGCTGAAATGGGCATAAAACAGCTACATAGTAGCTGAAACAGCATAAAGTGCTGAAACTAGTAGAAATAAGCTGAAAGGAGCAGAATGAAGTTGGGAGGACAGAAATAATCCGAAAGGAGCACAAAACAGCCGAAAAAGGGCTGAAATGAGCTGAAAATAGTGTAAATTTGCAGAAGGAAGCTGAAGCAGAACAAAAAGCGAAAGGAGCAGTAAAAGGTCAACAGAGCTAAAGATCTCAAGGATGTAAAATGAGCTCAGTTCATTTTCTATGCATCTTCTCGTCTTCATCAACAGACTGTAAATGTTTAGACTTTTTAACTACGAAGCCGTGGAGGCAGTGAAGGTCTTGCTGAAATATGCGAGACCTTCACTGAAAGACATCATCTGGATACGTTGTTCTTAAGCTGCGTTTACGTTTCTGCATTGCTGGTGCCTCTCAGAATGTGTAAGCTACCCATGCGACAGGCACTAATGCACCCCCATACCAACAGAGAGGCAGGCATTTGAAACGTGTGCCGATAGGCTGGCGTCTGTTTTCAAAAACAGTTTCAGTATTTTATTTTTGTCGAGGGGTGGGGGGTTAAAGGAGGACGGGACAGAGTCACGTCTGTGTTGCCCGCCCACTAGCTTAGCGCTACGTTGATGCCGACAGTTGACGGCGCTCCGCTTGTATAGTGGTAGGAGAAACACTGTTTATGAACCGTAGGAAACGAGATATTCAAAGTCTTCAGCTCGTTTTAGTTGCATTTTTTTTCAAACCACAGCCCGTCTTTACTTCTAAGAGGTTCAGATTTACATTCAGTCTGGGTTCATGGGATTTGTAAATCGCTTGCACACAACGTTTCTGGACTTGGTATTGCGGAAAATATGAACGAAAACTGTAAAGCACATTTAAAAAACTTTATTTAACACAAAAAAGTTAACAAGTCTGGATTGTTACTTGTTTTGTGCAGTGCCAGAACAAAAACGATCATGCCCTTCTGACGAGCCATTTAAAAAAAATGATTTCTCATTTGCTCCGTTAGTAAATGAACCCCCCCCCCCCCCCCTGGCTGTTGTCTTTTGACCCTGTAGGCATGTCAGCTAAAGAGGGACACGACGACGTATGAGGAGAAGGAGCAGCAGCTCGTGAGCGACTGCGTCAAAGAGCTACGTGAGTCCGATGCACGCGAACGCAAAACTATCAAATGAGCACGACCAATATGGAAATTTTGGCTATCGCGATACCGATGTTGGGCAGGCTAATGCCGCTAACGTTCACATGTTCTATCCTCCACTATTCACCATAACGTATGTCACGTATGGCGAAGGTCTACTTAGTCTGGACAGCAGAGTTTATTTTCTTTGCAGAGAAGTAAAGAGTTCAGACAATGTGTTTAATTGTGGATGACAAAGATAGAATTACTAACTGATATATATTTTAACTCCACGTTAGATTTATTGTTCTGGATAAAGTTTACAAGACAATAGCTTATGCTAGGTTATCTAAACATTAGCTTGCTAACTTGAGAGGCATGTAGCTAATGACCAGCAGGTTGGAGGAGTGAGGAGAATTTATTATTGTTGATTTGTTTTACAGATCGGTTAAAATAAACTTACAATGCTCTGTTCAGCAAAAATACGCTACACAGTATTACTCCCTGCTTCATCTGCACTGAAAGTGAAACTTAAGTGAACGGCTATGACTTGAAAGTAGTCTGCATGCACCCTCTGCTGGATACATTGTACAATTACGGCTTTTGCAAGGAAGGACACGGTTCATTCCCAGTATTTATATTGGTGCGTGATGGAACAGATACCGATATATATATATATATTTTTTCATTTAGCCTTTATTTATCCAGGTTAGTCTCATTGAGCCACGAGAACTCATTTGCAAGAGAGACCTGTTTTTTAGGGAGCACATGGTGGGGGTTAAGGGCCTTGCTCATGGGCCCAGAGTGGGGCGAATGAGGGTGGGGGCAAGTGTGGGTGTATATAATAATATACCTAAAATATCGGCCCTACCGATGTATCGGTCGGGCTCTACTAACAACCATTCTCAGGTCGAAAAACTCACTTTAACTCTTGAGTGTCTGTTCGTGTTGCATCTCGCTGCAGGTGAGTCCAACAGCCAGATGGTGTCTCTGACGGACAAACTGTCCCAGAAGAGCGAAGAGCTGCTCAGACACCAGGAGGAAATCGCTCAGCTGCTCTCCCAGATAGTAGAACTACAACACAGGGTGAAGGAGGTGAGGAGATAATGACGTTTGCGTTACTTTAAATCATGAAGTTAAAAAAATGTCTCATCCCGTGGTTTGTTTATCTGCAGCTGGCTCTGGAGAAAGAGGAGCTCAGGATCCACCTTCAGGCCTCCAAAGATGCTCAGAGGCAGCTCACAGCAGAGGTGCGGACTCAATAGTTAGTGCAGAGTTGGGCCTTTATTAACAGTCAGTGCTACTGAAACTAACCATTAGGGAGGATAAGCCAGTGTATCTCTTGTGCCGGTTCCAAGCTCGGGGAAATGGTGAGGCAGAGGGGAAAAAAAACACTTTTACCAAAACGGGAAGGGAACAGTGAGGCTACAAGGAGCAGAGGGCACAAATGTCAGTGTCGACGTATTTATGCACATACCTGCAAACTTGTCGCTTTTTGGCGAAAATCACCAATTTCAATCAAAGATATGTAATTTACGTGAATCATCTAGAGCCAAAGAGGGGTTTTTTTTTTGTGTGTGTGGGGGGGTCAGAGGCATGGTAGATGGCATAATTTCCCATTGAATGGATTTATGTAGCACTAAGCTAGCTCTACGTAAGTCGTGCTCGCTAGCTCGTAACCTATGCTTGCAACAAAGCACGCGCTAGCTCGTAAGTGCTAGCTTGCTTCTAGCATAGGGCTACGCATCCAGGAGATGACGACCGGGGGGGGGGCGGTTATGACTATTACAGAAGCAGAGCGCTACATCTGCATCTTAGGTAGCGCGTCTATGTTGCGCACCACTAGCTTAGCGCTACTTATTTAATAAGTTACTTCTTGCTATTAGCAAAATGCTCTGCTATATTTGGTTTCTCTGGTTGGCTTGCTGCTGATGTTGCTTGTTTATGTTTTGGTTGACGCCATCTTTCCTATGTACGTCCTAACTAAATTAGGATATGTTAGTAAATGTATTTTTTTACTTGAAGCACGTTGGCCTTTCCCTCAATTTTCTTCTTGGCGTGTACCAAAATGCTTAATTTACAACCTAAAAATCACAACACTCTGCCGCCGCCAACTACAGAGTTACTAGATTTGTCCCCTTTTTCATCCCTTGTTTGTTTGCAGGTCGGTATACAGCACATAAAAACAACATACGTTGACCAAAGTGTTTTACATTTCAGTCAAATTAAAATGGAAACCAGAAAATACGTCTTGTGACACGCAGAAAAGTTACCAGTGAAACGGAAGGACAATCAGCTCTAACTGGTTCTCGGACGGCAGGGGACAAAGATGAGTCTTGGGCAAAGATTTAAAAGTCCCAACAGTCTTGGCGGTCTTTAAGTGATCAGGTGAAATGTTCCACAGTTTTAGAGCAGAAACTGCTAAACCCGATCACCTCTGGATTTCAGTTTGGATCTAGGGACATCTTATGGTCGGTAGACCGGAGTGCTCTTACTGGATTGTAGAGGTTAAGAAGATCACTTAAATATGACAGGACCAAACTTTTTAAGACTAAAAACAAGCAATAAAATCTTGACGTCAATCCGGAAGTGGAGAGAAGTCGGGACAGGGGTTGTGCTTTCCATGTTTTCTAGTTGCCGGGGGGCTCCGTCTTGTCTAAGCTAAAACAACATTCACGGTTGAAACCCGTGCCTTCCTGTAAGAAGTTGTTTTTCTCAGAAAAAAGAAGCTGAGAACTTGTTTACTGACTTTTTATTAAAAGCTTAATGTGAAAAATGCTATGCTAAAGCGCTCAAACCACACCGAGCATCCGCCATTTTGACAACTGGGGAAAAAAGGAAAGTGAGACAGCCCATGTCACGTCAAGGGGCCTCCCTCCCATTTTTCTTAAAGAGACACGCTGCTCAACTATCCATCCTTCGGTTCAAACTCTTATACTGCCATCCGGTGGTCAACAAAGGTACTACACTAAAAATACAATTAACCAACATTTCTTTTTAAATTTGACAATAATTACTAATTATTGCCAAATTTCAAACAATATTATCGTTTATCGCAATCATTTCTGAGACAATTAATCACCCAGCAAAATTTGTTATTGTGACAGGCCTAGCCGGACTTCAAATACTTCGGTTAGACTGTCCAGGAAGCTTTTCTATCCATCTTAAGGTCATATTTTATTGTATCTTTGTTCACACGCACAGCTTTAAACTGTTCGTACAACACTTTGGTCAGTGAGGGTTGTTTTCAAAATGTCTTGATTAGTTATTTTTATCCGTCTGTTTGTGTTTGCCGCAGCTGAACGAGCTGGCGGAGAGGAACGCTGAGTGTGTAGAAATGCTCCACGAGTCGCAGGAGGAGATCAAAGAGCTCCGCAGTAAAAGTTCTCCCACGGCTGGGCTGCGGCGGCGCTTCCCCTACGGCCTTTACCCCATGGTTAGTGAACTTTTTTGATCCGAGAGCCCCGTTTCCCGTAAGGAAGGATAAATCTACAAAGATACAAACTGGTACTTCTACTGAGAAATGTGAGATAATCCCGTGTTTTGTTCTTTTTTTATGAAAAGAAAAACGTAACGTTGCAATTTTAACTGTACACCCAGGAGTCGTTGGCAGCGGAGATTGAGGGCACCATGAGGAGAGAGCTGAGTGTTGACGAGGAAGATGCCTTTCAGGACCAAAGGTTGGAGACCCAAATGTCACAGCACAAGTCACAGGCGGCCATTAGTTGAGCCGGATAAACTCTTCAGTCAGTTTTGTCCCTCGTCGCAGAGCAAAATACCGTCCAAATGTCTTTCCAGCTGGATAACATATAAAATAAGTGAGGAACTGACTTCCATTCTGA